TGTGTTTCGATACGGAACGTGGCCGGTTGGACGTTTCCGTACACCCCTTCACGGGCGGCGCCCACCCTACCGACGTGCGTATGACCACCCGCTTCAAGAAGGACAACGTGGTGGAGGGGCTCACGGGTAGGGCTGTGGGGGGATGTGGGGGGCGGGGGGGGAGGGGGGAGCGAAGTGATGTGGGGGAGAAAGGCGCCTTGAGTGAGTGGGAAGCCTCCCCTCCCCACTGCGACTCTGGGGGTCCCCCGCGGCGGTCGTACATACCCGTGGTGGCCCCGTACTCCATATCACCTCACGGCTTGAGAGAATAATATACCCGATAATATTAGTGGACCCTCCGTACAGTTACGTGGGTGATGGCGGGGGGGGCGGGGGCCTTATGAGGGCCTTACTTCGCTACGGTAGTTACTTACCCCCCTGACTTAACCACCCAACCACCAACCACCTCGACCCTGGCCGGGGAGTGCGCGCGCTGTCAGCCTGGGAACCGCTTTTCCCCCCCTCGGTGATTCCCCCCCCCCCCTCCATCCATCCATCTCCCTACCACGAGTACCCCTAACCCGCCAAACCCACCACCCTGCTTACTTCTCTTCCTCGGGGGTGAAAAGGCGCCATTCACGAGACGGGCCACGCATTGTACGAGCAAGGCCGTAACCTGGAGTACGACGGTCTCCCGGTCAACTCTGCCCTGTCTATGGGTGTGCATGAGAGTCAGTCGCTGCTGTGGGAGAGGATGGTGGGGCTGTCGAGACCCTTCGCCGCGTACTTGCTGCCCATGCTGCAGGTGCGTGTGTGTTTAGGTGCGTGTGTGTGTGCGTGTGTGTGTTTAGGTGCGTGTGTAGTTGAGTGGGGGTGTTCTGCCGGGCGTGGTGGCCATTGCTATATGTGTGTATGTCTGTCTGTGTTTGTGTTTGTGTGTGTCTGTATCTGTGTCTGTGTGTTGATGCGTTCGTGTTTATGTGTATGTATGTGTGTTATGCTAGGAAGCATTACTATCCGAGTCGGGGGTACAACCCCGAGGGGCCGCTTAGAGGGGAGATGTCGTACCAGCAGGCCAACAACCGAATCGGTTACTACTGCCGTACAGGCACACAGCGGAGCACTGTTCACTCCACCTGCTCTAGTGCACTGAGAAGAGGGAGACGCCAAGATGAAAACATGATTATCAGGAACCCTCGCAACCGGGTAAACTGAATTACGCATTCCCCAAAGGGAAGCCGCAGCGAGCTTTGGAAACGGGACGAAGCGCCCTGTTCCGTACAATGGCCAATTTTCGGGTGTACGGCATGCAGATGCTGCCAACCCAGGGAAACACACACCCTCCGCACAATCACAACCACGCACATACATACAAACGTGCGTTATTCAAAATTGCAAGTGACACCACCACAACCACCTCCCGACTCTTCCTAGCCGTACATGCAACGTCCAACTGCATCAACCGACATAACTCCTTTCCCTCTTCTCGTTACCTTTCCTACCTCGCCTACCTAACCACCTACCTAACCACCAACCTACGTACCTACCTAACCGCCAACCTACCTATGTACTCTCCATCTAACCCCCCAGGAGCGCTTCCCGGAATCATTTGGCTCCGTAACCGCGGAGCAGCTGTACGAGTCGGAGAACGTGATCCAGGAGCCGTCACTCATTCGTGTGGAGGCGGACGAGGTGATGGGTTTTGCTTGGGGGGAAATGACGGGGGGATGAAGGCAATAACCCGTGTGTGTGTCAAACCGTGTATTTGTACAACAGATAGGAATGCCTTTCCTCGTTATCTCCGCCTTTCCGTTTTACCCGAAGTTTTACTCCCCGCTCCCTCCGTGGTGACGTACCTCCGTAGTACAACATCGCCGTACCTTTCCTGCAGTAACTCCTGGGCTGTACGTCCCTCCCGTATACATCAGGCTACGTAGCCGTATATTTGTGGCCGTACATCCTGAATCCCGTCATCGCCCCTCTAACCCCCATATACACATACATACATACATACATACATACATACATACATACATACATACATACATACATACATACATACATACATACATACATACATACATACATACATACATACATACATACATACATACATACATACATACATACATACGTGCATGCACACGGTGTGTACGGCCAGGTGACGTACCCTCTTCACATCATCCTCCGCTACGAGCTTGAGAAAGGGCTGCTGGAGGGCGAGGTGGAAGTGGAGGACGTGCCCCGCCTGTGGAATGAGCGAATGGGCAGCTACCTAGGGGCCACACCGCCTAACGATGCCACGGGCTGTCTGCAGGTACGGACGTGGTTGATGGTTGGAAGTGGTTGACGGTGGTTGGTTGCAACCACTTAGGGTAGTTTGAAGTGGTTGAAACGGTTACCTGGGCTGTTATGGGGTGATGTGGTAGGTGGGGTGGGTTGTTCGGGCTTATGGACGGTATGCTCATGAAGGGGTGGGGTTGGCGGGTTTTAGAGGGGTGAGGGGGTAATGTGTGTGTATTTAATGTGTGTATTAAATATGTGTGTATTTAATATGTGTGAATTTAATGTGTGTGTATTTAATATGTGTGAATTTAATGTGTGTGTATTTAATGTGTGTGTATTTAATGTGTGTATTTAATGTGTGTATTTAATGTGTGTATTTAATGTGTGTGTATTTAATATGTGTGAATTTAATGTGATGTTTATTTAATGTGTGTGTATTGGGGGGAAGCTGGGGCGGTCAAGGAGGGGGGAGCCCCACGTAAGTGTGTGTGTTGGGGGGGGGAGTGCGGGGGCATGGACATATGGTTGAGGAGGACCCGGGGGAAGCTGTGTGTGTTTCTGTGTGTTTCTGTGTGTTTCTGTGTGTTTGTGTGTGTTTGTGTGTGTTTGTGTTAACGTTTGCTGGGAAGGGGGTGGGGTGGGAAGCTGGTGGGGCCCGGCGGGGGGCTGGGTTTGGGACAGACACTGACAGACGTACGTACATACGGACCGAAGGACACACGCGGCCAGACGCAACGTCGAACACCCGGATAGCTCTTACGGGCATTAAGGCCAAAGCACGAACTAGTGGCAGAAAATGGTTTTTACTTTGAGGTTAGGAGATGGTTGTTGGCGGTTAGGAGGCGGTTAATTAACCTCTCTTTTGTTTCCTGACTTCCTCTGCTACGACCGCCTTCACTTCCTCGTGCCCATATCTCTCCATTCACGTCACTCACCGATTTTATGTAACGCGACCCTATTTCCGTACATCCGTACAGGACATCCATTGGTCGATGGGCGCCCTGGGCTACTTCCCCACCTACACCCTTGGGGCTATGTACGCCACGCAGATCTACGCAGCTGCGAAAAAAGAGATTCCGGATCTTGAAGACAAGATTCGGGCGGGTGAATTTAAGCCACTGAAGGTGAAATATCCGTACACGTTTTGTTGGCTTCGATCCCTGGGTATCTCTGTATAGCCGTACAGTTTGTACGGCTGTGGGTGGATTACCATCGACGGCGAGCGAGGAATCTGGAAGTTTGACAAAAGATTACCAAAGCGAGTTCGCGTTCGGGACCAGGGCGAACGGAGGCCGACGAGTCATCCCGGGCTGGGGAGGTCTCCAAGCTCCGAAACCTCAAATAGGGAGAACGCAAAGAGCTCTCACACCACAAGACGCCCAACAGCCTCCCGAGACCAGTACCCACACCCCCGCCTCTCCCTCTCCCTGGGCCGGTCCAGGGGAGGTGTCAACCGCAGAGGGGGCATAACGCACATGTCCAGGTCCCTACACAGCGTTGGGCCCAACTCGAAAAGTGTGCGATCTGGGAGGTCCTGCCCCGGCACCGGTCTAACCGGAGACCGGGAGACCGGGCCGCCGAAAGGAACGGAAGGGGGGAAATGGTAGCCAGCTCGTGTATGTATGTTGTTACAGGGTGGTGGTATAGCTTCACCAGCGGCCCCCTTTCCCTAGGAGGCAGTTCCCTGCTCTCCCTTGCGAGAGGGGCACCCAATCCGTTCACCCCATCCGACTTCAGAATGTATTCGTGGGGTTCAGCAACTCACCACCAGCCATATGTATGTGTGGTATGCTTGTTTCCTTTTGTTTTCCGTTCCTCTGTTTTCTCTTCTGAAGGTCATTTTGGCCCCGCCTCTCCGTATGCCACACATGGAAGAATACACACACCTCCGCACCCCTCCGTGTCAATCGTGTGTGGTTCGTCCTTCCCTCCGTGTCCTTCCTCCTCCCCCCTTCTTTCCTCCCCCTAACCCGTCCCGCAGTCCTGGCTGAACGACAAAATTCACAAGCTCGGTTCTCTCCACAAGAGCGGAGACGAGCTAATGATTGCGGCCACCGGAGCACCCCTAGAGCCGTCCGTGTTCCTAGACTACCTGCGTGACAAGTACAACGACCTGTATAAGCTGTAGTGATACACAACCATACAGCGTGTGCGCAGAAAAAAGAGTATTTGCGATGATGCTCCTTATGAATTTGTGTACTTCTTGGAGGCGTGTCTGAGAGAGAGAGAGGAAAGGACAGAGAAGCGATGGAGACCCAGTTTTTCTGGCACTTTCCTGCCACCACAGCTTCACGATACAAGTGTTAAGGGGGGATGAAGTACGAACGAAAATGGGGATATGTTTTTGATGTTGGCACTACTGGTAACGCGCGACCATTGCCCCCGGGAGGTCCCGGGATCGATACCCGTTAGGGTCAAAAATCCTTCCGATGGTGGAAGGCATTGCGCCCCTAGTTGATGGACGGTGGTGACCTGGGATAAAGTTAACTTGCGAGCCGACCAGGAGTGGAGTTGGGCCGCTGTCGACCCGGCAGATTCCGTTTGATGCTGGTGGTGGGTGCGGAACCTGAGCGATCCACTGAGAAGTTGACTAGGGTGACTGGATGAGGGTGCCCCGAAATACCGGGGAAGGCATGGTTTCGCAGGGTAGCTGCCACGGGCGAAGATATACCCCCCTGTTTCACACAAGACGACGTTGGTTTGGATGATGAAAATTTGTTACAGGTGGCCTGTGGTATCGAAACTCACTAAATAATGAGTTTCGTTGGCCCACCTCAAAACTCTAGGATGTCTGGACAGGGAATTTGGTATTTGCCTCCTTCTGAGGTGTTAATTAGGTAACGGCGAAAGCTGAAGTGCCTCCTCACAACGGACTTCTGTCAAGGAACGCACAGTTAACCATCTCTTTTCAACGTGCAACATTGAATTCAATCCCGGATCTGAAAGACCTGAGCTTCGTTTATTGAAGGTTGGTCGTGTCGTTGCTACGATTTACGATAGACCTTCTGTTGGTATTGCCGCAACACGCAAAATGTTATCAAAAACTTCCATATCGAGTCACTAAATAATGATATACCGCTAAAAAGGAGCATCTGTTTTACAACTGGCCAGCACATTGCTTGCCATGCACATGAGATGCATGCGACGCCTACGTACGGCAGATCTGTAACAATCTGTAAGAATCGCAAACTATAATAACGAGTTGCGTGCAGTTTTTGGCAATAACATGTTTGTATTATTGAGGATTTATATAAATGGTTGCTCCTTAGGAACGGTGGGTGTGGCAAGTTGATGTCGGGAAGCTGCATTCTAAGCAACAACAGGCCTCGCGAAGGATGTCAGAAGCCGCTGAAGGGCAGCCGCCGAGCGCGCCATCTGCAGCCTGTAATTCAACAACGACAACCGTTCGTGCACGATTTCGGCCGCGTAGCTCCAAAGAGGCTGAAGCGCGGTGTGTTGAGTACGCGGGCGACAGCCAGATTGGCTTCACGGGCCCCGATGGCACGCGCCACAGCTTTGCGTTTGATAAAATTTACGGTGAGGAAATCACACAACTTTTTGTTAGCCCTAGCAAGCAGCGGCCGCAAAAGCGAACCGCGGGACATGAATTTCGCGGCAATCCGTGTAGCATAGGGTTCGCTGAGGGTTTGACAATTATTAAAGTTCTTCTGCGCAGCTGTGTTAATTTTCTGTCAATTTTCTACATCAAATTTGCTTTTGCGCTTGCGCGCGGTTTTGCTGCGCGCGCTTTGTTGACCCGCTGCTGCTGCCTAGGCGAGGACTCCAGTCAATCTGAAGTCTTCGCCGACTTGCGGCCTGTCGTGGAGGCGGCTTTGGGCGGCTATAATGGAACTATTATGAGTAAGCACAAGGATGAAGAAAGGATGAAAAATCAATTGAAATGGCAGAGTTGACTGAGCAGAAGTTTTTTTGGAGAAGAAAACCGTCCACTTTTTCGCGAAGACCGAGCCGTCCCCGATGCAAAACGAAACGACCCAGATGCCCATTTCAACAGTTCTCGTGCCGCGTCTTGGCAATGAGGCCCAAGCCATCCAAGCTTCCCACAATACACATACATACACACATGCACGTACGGATACGTACACATCTAGACATCTAGACACGTACCACTCATCCACACGCACGGAGGCTCAAGCTCTCGGCTCAAGCTCTCGGAATGCACACCTCCTCCTTGGTGCATCCCCCCCCTTAAGACCCCAGGACCTCCCCCCCCCCCAAACCCAACCACAGCGTACGGCCAGACCGGCAGCGGCAAAACACACACGCTCATTGGTCGCGTGTCCGACGCCAGCCCGGAACACCACGGTGTCGTACCGCGCGCCATCAACCACCTAGCGGCGGGTATTGCGGAGGCGGGGGAGAGGGACGGGGCGGACTTCCAGGTTAGGGTTTGGTTGTTGGGGGAGAGGAGGGGGTTAAGAAACGATTACACGATTGGGGGATGAATGAGGGGCGCGGCGAGCCCCCGGACGGTTCCCTCACTGCGGCCGCTTATCGCCATGCGTGAGGGGGATGCATGGTGAGGGAGTTTCACGTCGTACTATGACATCATCATGGCCCGTTTCATGTCCTATCAAAAACCAGATATATTTCATTTACATACAGTTGCCTCTCTTGCAGTATCTTGCATGAAAAATGGTTTTATCTAAGGAACCACGGAGAAGCGGGGGGGGGGGAAAACGGGAGGGAAGGGGTTTGTGTCGCAAAAGGGAAAGGGCAGGAAAACGTGGACGCGTCCAGGAGTTACGGGAAGAAAACAAACTTTGGGTTAATCTGTACGGAAGAGGAGGATAATACTACAGAAAACCATGGGAACGTTCCCTACTTAATTAATTTAATGTACGTCCGTATGTGCCTACGTACGGCTTTCTTGTCGTGGAAAACCCCAAACCCCCCTCCACCCCCCACCCATCTCACTCCCGGAAAACCCGGAACTCCCCCTCACCCCCCAAACCCCGGTCAGGTGATTCTCAGCGTGGTCGAGATCTACTGCGAGCGCATCCGGGACCTTCTAGAACCTTCCCCGGCTGTCTCAGCCACGGCAGGAGCGGATAACCTCCAAGTCAAACAGGATGCCGTACGAGGGGTGTACATCGAGGGTAAGTACCGTACTGCATCATATCATCGCAAATTATGTCGTGGCAGTCGTACACAGCGTTTTTTTGCGGAATTTATTCTGGATTCATATAGTAATAAAAATTGTTCTTGGTCCTGAAAATTATTAAGAGTAGATAATGTTTCGAGCGTACAAGCTCATGCCCCCAGCCAAAAATGGACTGTCCATGCCAAAGCCGCTAGAATTTTACAGGAGACATACATACATGTTAACCTTATCATAGTAATTTAATGACATGGATGCCGTTAGGAAGGTCACGCCTGAAAGTCAACGAGGAATCGGACTGTTTCTGACCGGACCAAAAGCTGCAAAATATTCGGACCCGAAGCTCCCAAAGCGTGGCAGGCCATTTAAGCAAATATTAAACTTCATTGAAGCCATTAGCGACGTTAATGAAGGCGGTGCAGAGGTCGTAGGCAATGTGAACGCAATGCTGCAGCCAGCCGACGACAATGACGCCACTGCGGTTGCCAACAGCGAGCGGGCCAAACGTCAACGTTTGCCACATGGAGACAATCGCGATGGGCCAGGAAACACGGGCGTCGAGGTTGATGGCAGCTGCGACCCCGGCGCTGCAGCTAAGACTCTATTCGATCAGTGCTCGAGTAGGGGTTAACTGGCCTGGGCTCTGCAGCAGCAGTCGCCCGTGCAACCGGGGTTCCTGTCAGAGCGTCCAAGTGGCCCCCGCTTCCTGGCGTGTAAGAGACACCTCTCTGGAGAGATTGTGGAGTGTGCGTGTTGGGACATTCCCCAAACCCGGCGTTTGTACGAACTAAACTGTAACTCATCGGGGGGGGGGAGATTCGGAATACTTTTATTTCCGCGACTAAAAAACCTATTCCTCCGTTCGGACTGGAAAATTGACGGGCAAAAATGAAAAAAACACTGGTCGTACAGAGTCATGGCATGCTTTATTAGTAGCGCCAGTTGGCTATAGCTGTCACCGCACCTTGGTTCATAATAGACCCTCATAACGAAGCCTTCTCGCCCGTAATATTTTAAATTTTAAATCTGTAAACAAAATTCAAATGATAGCATCACCATCACCCACCGCGGCCTTCTTCCCACCTTCCCCATCGCCAGGTGCAACTGAGCTGGGCGTTACGGACGAGCAGCAGCTGGTGGACTTCATGACGCGGGGGCTGGCGCAGAGGGCCGTATCGGGTGCGGCATGGGGGTTTGCGGGGGTTTGGGGGGGTTTGGGGGGGGAAGCGGGGGGAAAAGTCGGGGGTTTGTTGGAGGTTCAGGGTTTTGGGTTTTTAGGGATGTAAGGTAAACCGCCAAACCGCCGACTCGAAGGTTTGAGGAATAGGGGGGAATGATAAGGATTGATAAACAGGGCTTAAGTGTGTGTGTGGGGGGGGAAGGGGTGAGGAAAGTCCGGTAATCAGTGGATTGATCTGGTCCGAAATATCTCCTTTTTTCCTTCTGATTAACGCATACAGACATACAGGACATACAGACATAGAGACAGACAGATGCATGACGTCCTCTGACGCCTCCGATTCCCTCCTTCTCCATGTGCCCTGCACGTACATGCCGTACAGCGACCAGTATGAATGAGGCCAGCAGCCGCAGTCACTGCATCGTAACTGTACGGGTAAATCGTACACTGCAGGACGGCACACTTCAGGTAATGAAGCCTTTCATGTATGTATGTATGTATGTATGTATGTATGTATGTATGTATGTATGTATGTATGTATGTATGTATGTATGTATGTATGTATGTATGTATGTATGTATGTATGTATGTATGTATGTATGTATGTATGTATGTATGTATGTATGTATGTATGTATGCATGTATGTGTGAAGTAGGGGGTCATAATATAGCTATAGCTTCATTCGTGTGTGTGTATGGCCACAGCTAGCCTGCTGGCAGTTCCCCGTACGAACACCTTCCGCGATGTTGGGGGGCCACCACCCTCCGCATCCTCCTCGCACCAGCCAGGAGTGAGGGAGTGAGGGAGTACCGACTTCCGCAAACTCAGTGACTCAGGGTCGGGCTCAGTACCCGCCACCTGCAGCACCGCCAGCATCAATCCCCCGAATTGGATCAACCGCTCCGCTCCACTCCCGGGGGTCGGCGGGCACAGCCACCCTAAGTCACACCCACTATAACCGGGCGGTCCGTAACCCTCTCCGTAGTCAGGGGGGGAAGGGGGGGGAGGGGGGGGGGCATCCAACAGTCCTCTTAACAGGCGAGTGTGATTTACAGTCCTCTCCGTTTCCACCCTCCCTTGCATCCATGTGATTCCCCTCCACCCTACAACCCCTACCTCCCCTTCCCCCCCAGGTTGGCAAACTGGTAATGGTGGATCTGGCGGGAAGTGAGCGAGCGGATCGAACTCATGCAGCCGGCACCACCCTGGTGGAGGGGTCCCTCATCAATAAATCGCTAAGTAAGACCGCCGTACAGTGCTGTACCACTTGTAAACCAATGATCAACTGGTTGACTTAGGCTGTTTACGAGGAATTTAGCACTTTCGTTTTCTGTCGTGAGTCGTCCTACTGGCGAGTCCCACGTGTCGTCACTGCTATGCCGTACTTAATGTCCCATCTCCCCCTCACCCCCCGGGCCCCAACAAACACACACACACACACACACACGACGTTTGGTTTAGGTGCTCTTGTGCAGGGTTTTCGGACTTCATTGTGCAGGGTTTTCCGAAACACCAAAACCCCTCATCTACCCGTCCAAAAACACACGTCCGTACACACATACACATGCACACACATGCGCGCACACACACACGCACCTCGCCATTTCCTTCTTCTCTTAATTAAAAAACGCACATACTGCAAAAAGGAAAACGTGACTGGGCGGCGAACCCTGACACCCGCGCGCTCACCAAGGCGCTGTGCGAGACGGGGTAGCCTGTTCGGCGTCGTTACCAAATACGGGTTCCTCCCAAGTCCGACCAGGAACTGATGTTCATCAGAGCTCCATACACACATACATACACACACACACACCGATTACATCATTCTTTGTTGGCCCCCGCAGGCTGTCTGTCCAACGTCATATATGCCCTCACAGAAGACTCCAGGGGCGGTAAGGCCCGCCATGTGCCGTACAGGGACAGCAAACTGACACGTGTCCTGCAAGACTCGCTGGTACGTGTGTATGTATGTATGTATGTATGTATGTATGTATGTATGTATGTATGTATGTATGTATGTATGTATGTATGTATGTATGTATGTATGTATGTATGTATGTATGTATGTATGTATGTATGTATGTATGTATGTATGTATGTATGTATGTATGTATGTATGTATGTATGTATGTATGTATGACGTTGATTACACTGTGGGCTGAAAAGCCGGGGGCCCAGGGCCGAAGCACAGCGCGGGGGGCGGGTGCATACGGCTGGTTAGTCTCATGCACTCCGCCCCCGGGTCAGGCCGCACGGGAAACGACGGCCGGCACGCAACAGCGCTTGTTTGGCGCTCCAACTAGACGGGATCTATGCCCGTTGGTCTCCTAACATAAACGAAGTCGCAACTGGGGGGCTCTTCCTGCCGACCGAACGAACCGAGCATCTCAGAGAGCTCGCTACCAGGACTTGGGCGACCGGCAG